AAAAAAAAAAAAAAACGTAATAATAATAATAATAATAATAGGTAACTATACATATATACATACATACATATATATATATATATAGTATTTATGTTTTGGTAGGTATAATAATATACTGCACGCTAGCTGCCGACGTGCGACGTCGTGGACCGCGTCGCACCTGCAGCCGCGGCGTCGACAACAACAGGTGCTATCGTCACCGCGCGACCCAAATCCGGCGCGCGCGTAGAATAACAACGATATTATATCGATTAATCTTTAAAATAAAAACCCAATCGTCACGTCGTCATCAGTCATCACTGTGTTTCACCTGTTTTGTTCTTCTTCAGATCCTCCGCCGATCGAGCAGTGTGCAGTGTGTCGTTGGTTTTTACTTTTATTTTTCCGAGAACCGTCACTTCGGGCAGGAACGGTGCTCAAGTTTAGTGTCACACTACATCCACAGATGGTATTTATTATCAATTATCAATGGTCTTCTGAAAATAACATTTTCAGAAATTCCTCAATAGTCAATGTGTAGCCCTTAAAGTGCGATTAAAATGAGCTTACACCTCGGTTAATTGAAAATCAAAAATTATTTAAAACACAGAGTTAAAATCCTAAGTACAATTTAAAAAAAAAATAAGCCGTGTGGAATTAACAATTTTAAGAGGAGCTAGAAATATTTTATGCGTGATACGAAAAAAAATATATATTCTTAAATTTCTAAAAATCCCCAAGATTTTAAATACAAAATTTTTAATTATTAATTATTTATGACCGTAATTCTGGTCACTAGACAGCAGACATCAAAACGATAAAACGATACCAATGCATTTTATAAGTCTCACTCACATGTTGCTCAGTATTTCAAGTACGCCAATAATAATGTTTGTCGTCCGATCGTATTATAAAATTTCACCCAAACGTATTGTATACAATATGTGCATATTATTATCATAAAAAAAAAAAGCCGCAAGCAGAGAACACGTTTTTGCGGTACCCATTACGTTCGATTTTTGTACCCGACCGGTCAAACGCGTCGAACGTACAGTGCGCATAACAAAATTAAAGTTATCACTGGCACGGCGGCGTTCGTGATTCAAATCTCAAAGCCGCGTTCATATAACATCTGTAAAATATTCGCACACGGCGGCGCGGACGTCGTAAGGTCGCGCCCGCCGGTTTGCCGACGAAGAAAGAAAAACTTTTGCGCGTAAATTTCATCACGAAATTGCAGTTTGAATTTTAAAAACTTCTCCGCACAACGTGCATGACAAAAACACAATAAACTACTATGCTCGCCAATTACACGCTTTATGTATAATATATTATTATTATTATTATTACCACCGGTGTGCATCGTACGTCGTCCCGTACACGCGAGCCGCCGTCCTAATGTTCTGACCGCGTACAATAAAACGTCCAGACTGTATTATACTACATTGTACCTACGGACCAGGGATCGTATTTAGAAACACAAATAATGGGATAAAAAAAACAAACACGGATTTAGGTATAGTTACCGTTTAAAAATGTACACAATGTGCGACAGTGTACAATACGTTTTCGATAGTAACACACTATGTCCGTGTTTATAAACAGAGTTTAGACTGACAATAATAATTATTAACTACCTATAAATACTTGATATTTCGATAAAATCATACATCGCAAACACGGTGAATGGCGAGAGGTGCCTTTGTGCTCTACTCCATAAATACGCCACTGATACGCACAGTAAACCTATACCGATACACCGTGTGTATACAACACGTTACGATGAGGTATTATGTGAATTATGGCGTCGGCCGTTCGTTTTAGCAGGGTGTCAGTAATTCACCGCCCGACAGTTTTGCCGGCTCAGCGAAGTCTCGCGGTCTTCGTTTAATAACTATAAGCGTTTCATGTACCTACAATCGTACAAGTATATTTTCACCGGTTTAGATACAGGGACGAATGTTAACGTATTTACTAACATGTTTTTACTACGCACTATTTTACTTAATTATTTATAGTTGTGTTTAAAAAAGTTGTTATATGAATTTAAAATTTAACGATTAATCACGTTGAGGAGAGCGACGCAACGCGGTGGCCAAGCGCGGAAGTTTTTTGGAAAAATATTGCAAAAAAAATAAATACTTAATTTGCAGTCCACCACTGACGGAGAGTCGTCTTGGGTCACTTTTCGTGGTTTTTGCACGCTATAAACGGTTGGTTATTGAGTTTATTAATAAATTACGACACGACGTATTCGTCGTGTGTTAAAAAAAATAAAAATATTTTAAACGAAACGTTATAAAAAATTGTATATTGGGTCGTCGTATGTCGAAGAGCACAGTCAACAATCCCGAGGTCCGCGTACATCCGTCGTTGCTAAGACGATGTAACAGCCCGCATAACGGTCCAGGAACTCGCAGGATTTCGTGTGCGGACGATAAAAACGTCCTTTTAATCTAGGCCTCGTCGACGACGACGATGAATTTCCCGCCGAACATCGTACGAGTAATCGATGATGCCGAAACCACACAGCCATCGAGCGTATTGCGTAGGTACCTATCACAATTCACCGATGGCTGTGAAGACGACGACGACGACAAAGACGATAACAATAATAATACATACACACACATAATATATACGGTTGTACAGTGACACGGGTCTTATTTTTCGTGTCGTTTGATTTCAGACTCATGGAGAATCAATGCCGTTCAAGTGTCAATTCTGCCGGAGGCTGTTCAAACACAAGCGCAGCCGAGACCGGCACGTGAAATTACACACGGGCGACAAGAAGTACAAGTGTACTCAATGCGACCATGCTTTTTCAAGGAGGTGAGTACCTGCTATACCTGCTATACCTTCTATACCTTCGGCGAGACGTGCGCGTGCGTATATACGCGTATAACATAATGCCGTGTGTGTGTGTTCCGGACCTAATGACTATATCACGTATTATTATTATTACGTATTATACACACACATAAATATATATATATATAAATAAATATATTTATCGGAGACTTGTCCGTATCGTCCGGCGACCTCATAATAACACGCACACACACACACACAAATACATATAACACACGATATCATACGCTGTATGTGTGTACACGCGGCGACTATACGCGACGGACGGTTTTCCATTGTGAATTCATAGTCACGTACGTCGTATAAAGATATTTGGTACCTAGTTGACTTATAATATACTCGCCGAATTCAATAGGTTATTTTCTTTATTTTTTTCGTTTTTTTTTTTCTTTCCTCTCCACGTAATTACCGATGGCCACGCGTCCGACAATTATCCACGGGGAGAGACACACGTATGATGATATACGCGCACACACACACACACACACACACACATACACACACAAGTATAAGTACATGCCGTGTATACGGTCGTGAACTTGTCAACAGACACACACACACACAAATACACATTATAATACGTCATACCTGCACACATGTATATATATATATATAAGCACGCCCACCCAAAAAATGTCATGCAGACGTGCTCCCGAATACAATGCTAAAGAATATTATCGTCGGCGCTCGCGCGTCTCCGCGTTCGCATATATATATATATACGTAAAACACATAACACATATATAGGTATGTGCTAACAAACTATTGTGTGCAACCACCGCCGCCGAGTGGACGTGTGGCCGCAAGTACATTGAACTAAGGAGACGTGTGTCCTCACACGCACAATCGTGTGCGACGAAGTACAATTTTTTTCCATTTTTTTTTTTTTTTTTGTTTTTTCTCCCTTTAAATCCCGACAACAGACTACACACTATGAAGTCGTCAACAACGCTAATTTGATAAACGAATCGTAAAAAAAACACAAAAAAAAAAAAAAACAAAAAAATCCTGGGAAATAAAACACTACCTATATCGGATCGATCGAAACATAATATTATTATATAATACTATTGCGCGCACCAACTCTGCAGTTATTCGCGCTGACATACGATGATGACTTATGTCCGTTGTATTTGTTTGTTTATGCGAAACCAGCGATCACCTGAAGATCCACATGAAAACGCACGACAATCAAAAACCGTTCCAGTGTACGGTTTGCAACAGAGGTTACAGCACGGCGGCCGCGCTCACGTCACACATGCAGAACCATCACAAACGGGCTGCGGAACGGGCGAACTCGCCACAGATATCCGGCCCATCGTACAAGTGTCTGCAATGCACGCAGATATTCCGTAAGCCCGACGAGCTTCAGGTCGGTACCCGATGAAATGTGTTTATTCACCCCCTCCCCCCGCTCCCCCCGATATCGGGCGTATACCCTCCCACCGTACCGTGCGCAAACGCTCGCCATCAAATCACCCTACGCCTAAAGCCCCTCTTCGCGACCGATAAGTCACGGAATATACACGGGGTCGGTAAACTCGTTTATATGCCCGTATGTGATTTCCGAAAAAAGATTACCCCCATTATCCTCTTATCGTATAGTCCGATACTGTAAACGATATTAGTTGGGTAGACGATACCCGTCGGCCACCGAAGGTTTCCAGTTAATAGGACTTGGCAGTACAAATACTTTCAGACCGGATCAAATTTGGTTACGAATAGTATAAGCATATTACATTTTTTTTTTTTTTTTTTTTTAGACACCCAATGATTGGGTTGAAAACTAGGAGGGGACAGCAAAGTAATTTATTAACCAAAATCGAAACCATAGCTTTTTTTTTGTTTGTTTTCAAATAAGTCTTAAAACTCATTTTATAACACAGAAACAAATTTTAGGTACTAGTATTGAATGTCGTTAATAATATTGAGTAAATAATAGCTCATTAAAAAGGTGCTGTAATTTATTTGAAAAAAATAATGCAATAATTATCCCGTAACGGCCGTAGCCATGAATAATATTCTATAATTCGTAAAGTAATATTCTTGGGTAGTGTTTGTAACCCAGATAATGTGTAAACATAATTATACGACTGGAGAAACGTGAAACAGGACATATTATTATGTAAACTGCACCCGAAATTTTATCTACGTATGTTAAAAAGGTGTAATGTAAACTGCGCCCCAAAACTTAAGCTGTGTCCCGTTTTTAAAATACACAAAACTTTTGATTTAATTAAGTCCCTATGATTGTGTACTTTTTCAATTATATCACAACAATTTTATTTTCGTCTAAAAATAGCAACACGTTATATCAAATAACTTAAAAAAAAAAAACAAAAAAACTTATAAATTTTAATTAATTGATAAAATAGTGGTCAAACTTCAATAAAATTGATGAATAATATGTATCAACAATATGTTATTAATTTATTATTTGTAATATTTGAAGTTATTTTACTTTTTAAAATTATATTTTTTTTTTTTTTAATTCTTAATTTAATTTTAATTTTAATTATTTATATTACATGGTTGTAATAAATTAAGTATACATTAAACTATTAAAGAGAATTTTGCAAAAATAAAGCTATTTAAAAAAAAAAATTTTACTCGGACGCAATTTACATGTGTGAATTTGGGTTTATCTGTATTTTTGGCGCAGCTTAAAATTGCTAGTGAAATACGTAAGCTAACACCAATGCAATAATTTGAGAGGAAAAAAAAATATTTTATAAATATGAGAATTACATTTTTTCTTTATTTTACAAAATCTTGTCACTTCGAACGAAAGTTGTAAACACTAGAAAGTTACGTTTAGTGTTTTTTAGTATTTTATCTGTTTGACGCGATCACCGCTAGATGGTTCTGTAGATATATAAAATGGATTTTCACACAGTTCGAATGTAGAATGTTTGAGTGTTTTTTTTTAAATGTAGGTACATGACGGTTTATTAGTGTCATACGTATAGCTAAAGATTTAAATTATGATTTTGCAATAACAAACCGTGTTCACTTAAGTACGAGTACTCGATATTGGAATGTTTTGCAATTATCGAGTGCATTTTATTACACTGAAATCGTAAGTGGTAGAATTTGTTGTTAAAAATCCTTTCAGAATATGAGATTAAGCGTCGGTAAAAAGCGGCGCTGATACTGCGTGTATTATGACATAAAATCATACCGACGGTTTCTACGCGTCCTTAAAAAAAAAATAAGAAAATAACATGTATATTGAAACTTGACAAAAATGTTCGATTACGACGAGCTATAACGTTTTGGCCGACACAGTATCCTTACCGCGTCTCCGACTTAACGGTCTATTAAAAAAGCCAAAAAACCCTGCCCTCATGGTCTAACAACCACTTTAATTATTCATCTGTACACAGAATCACACTGCGACGCATCATCTCGGCGAGCAACTGTCGTCCAACTCCCGGAGCTCGAAACGTTCGACACCGCCGAAAACTCCCAACCAGTACATTTGCATGTACTGCACCAAAGAAGTGTCCAGCATGGACGCCCTGCAACAACACTTCCAGACCAAACATTGTAAGTCACCGCCGAAACTCACGAGATAAGGTATGATCATGTGTAGTTCGATCTAATCGTTGCGTTTCGCTTGTCTACAGCTGCGATCGTCAACGGCAAGCCACCAGAGGACATCTTCTCGGCCGTACCGCCGGCGGCCGCGTTCCCGTGGCTCAATTTTGCCGACTCGCCGGCCCTGTCTCTGCCTCCGTACTCGTGCCGGTTGTGCATGAGCCAATTCCCGTCCGTCACTTCGTTACAGAAACACTTCACGACCGCCCACTATCTGAGTTCCGTCCTCAACAACAACATACAGAACACCAACAACAACGACAATGACAACAACGGTAACAACACCAACGGCTACAAAGGCGGAAGTGGCGCGATGCCTTTGTACAATTGGCCGGTAATATCCGGAATGAACGGATACCATCACCAAAACAATCACCACCATAACCGGCACTTGACGTCGGGTGGCGGCGGTCTGTTGCCCGAAGAAACCGTTCAGACGGGTCCCACAGACTTGTCGCTGTCGTCGTCCAAGCACGGAAGCAGCAAGCATCATCACTCCTCGTCGGGTAAGCACAAGTCAACTGACGACCAGCGAAACCACGCGACCAGCAAAAAGTCTCGTTCGTCGCCCGGCCGCGATCCGTCGGCGGCCGACCAACGTCACATTAAACAAGAACGTCAAAACGTTTACGATGGCAAACATCAGCATCCGCAGCCGATCGCGGCTCGACCGTCATCGCAGATCGGCGTGCCCAGCATCAACGACAACAACACCAAAAACAACAATAATAACAATAACAATAACAACAACAATAACAACAGCATTCACGCCAACAACAACAAGATGCAATTGCCATGTCCGCACTGCCATCTGACGTTCGCGCACTTCGAAGACTATCAGCAGCACGTCATCGGTCACTTCCTCACGGCCGCCGCCGAATACTCGTGCCAGGAGTGCTCCACTTCGTTCGCCACATCCGAACACGTACAGAAACATCTCATGGAAACGCACGCGCAGAACTTTTACCGGTGCATGCTGTGCAAAGAAGTGTTCCCCACCAAGTCGGCCCTGAAGGTGCACTTCAGCATGAACCACGGCAGCGAACACCGCATGTTTCGCTGCAACAACTGCACGGGACTGTCCCGGCCGCTGTTCCAAACGGAAATCGAGTTCATCGATCATCTGCGTAACGCCCATTACTCAGCGAGGTCGCCACCGCCGGTCCAAGCGAACTTGGTGAGTTATAACTTAAACGTAGTTGACGTGCGCAATACGAGACGAACGTCGTCACTTAGACGTGAATATTATAGTTGAAAATCTGGAGGCGAAGGGAGTTTAAATATTAGTACGTATACGCGTATAAACATAGTTGATTGTATGATACGAGGTCACGTGGAAAAATATTTATGAAACTTTTGGTTAAGCCCCCCCTCCAATTTACGGCTATGTGTCTGTGCGATTTGGTATTAAAACGTTGCTCTTCTCTTTCTGTTCTTTTCAGATGCTTAGGTGTTTGGTATGCCACGCTACGTTCAACACGCAATCCGATATGGAACAACATTTAGCTAGTCACTCCAAACAATTCCAATGTCAATTTTGTTCGGAAGCGTTCCACATCGAGTTCTTGTTGGACAGACACATACAAACGCATCACAGTTCGAGCGTAAGTCACTGAGCCGTGCGCTATTGCGCTGTTGGGTTGGGGACCGGACGCCGACCATTAATGACGATACATTTGTCGATGATTATAGATTTTAAGTCACCTCAACCGGAATCACAGGGAATCGCCAAATTCCATGTGTACGTCGCCTACGTACATTTCCAGGACGACGGAAGGCGGTAAGCATCCGACGGAAAACGGCACAAACGGTTGTGATATATGTGAGAAAAATGATTTTCGAAACGAATTGGACTTGATTGCACACAAAAGAACGATGCACCAGGTGAAGCCTACAAATCTTTCAACAAAAGTGAGATAATAATCCTAAATTATTAAGTTGCAAAAAAAAAAAAAAAAAAATTTACCGTTTGTTCTAAAACGCCGGTTACAGGTAAGCTTACATTGCGCGTATTGTAACGAAAACTGCAAATCGAGAACAGAGTTAGAGAACCACATGAAGACGCATTCACAACAAGGTTCGAATGTTGGAAAACACAAGTGCAACATTTGCGACGAAATTTATCAGTCCGCGATCAGCTTGGCCGAACATAAACTCACTCATTGCAAGGTGTGTATATCATTGTCTATAATGTAATAACTGCGGTCAGTTATAAGTCAGTGTTATGTGAAACCAGATCAAAAATTATGTATGATTAAAATGTATTAAAACTGTGTGTAATTAGATATTTTTATCATTAACACGATTATGGGAAAGAGAAAAGTGATCATGGTAGTATTTAGAACCAGAAAATGATAAATTAGCACCGGTAAAATTGAACGCTTTTACAATATTGTGTACCTAGATGCATAATAGCACAGAAAAAGTAAAGTTTTAAAATATTACAATTGATTTGATTATAAACCTATAGAAAATACAAGTCAAATAAATACTTTATTAGGTATGCTTTTTATTGTAATTGAATATCATTTTTTTATGATGTTATGAAACGAGTAGAGGGTGTTCATCGCCCCTCCCCCTCTCACCGCCATAATTTATAATATTTTACCGTTAGATATATACATTCTTATTACGCCCTTGACCTTTATCCACCTGTTGTTTATTATATTTTTGTAACTTATATTTCGAGTAATTGTAACACTTATTAAATACAAACAATACGAAATGTTTACGTTTATAATATATATATATATATATTATACTTGGCAATGTGATGATCTCTGAGTGGGCCGTTTAATATTTTTTTTTGATATTTATTAGTCGATACGTCATGTAATGGATAAGATTCTATTATGTACATTGCCATCACAGAACCGTAATATACAATGTATGTAGTACATAACTACCTATGTAATATGTATACATTTCATAATAATTTATACCTCCGAGTAATAACATATTGTGATCTCCGTCGTCGCCGTAACCATTTCGATCGATTAATCGACTATTTCTATCTCCTTCTTCTCATTGTGTTGCACAGGTAGCCACGAGTACCGTGTGCAGTCACTGCAAAATGATTATCGACAATGAGGATCAGTTCCATCAACACCTCCAGAAGCACTGCAATCCGGTGAACGCGAACGGCGGCCAAGTGGCGTTCCCCACGTCGTGCATCATATGCAGGCAAACGCTCGTTTCAGACATCGAAGTGAAGGTGCACGTGCACTATCACCTGTCCCGGCTCAAAGAATCTCCGGCCGTGTGCGGCAACTGCAACCGGTACAAGCGGTCAGCGTCTTCTCCGTGCGCCGGCTGCAACCCGGCCAGAAACAGTGCGGCGGAACGATGTCCTGACTGCGGTGCGGCGTTCGACGCTTTCGGCGCGCTGCAACACCACCTGACCGCAGTCCACAGAAAACCGTTTCACTGTTTCAAGTGCAAGGTAAGCTCGAAATGAACTCACGCATATCGCATACGACCGCGTCCGTAAATCAACCAGGAAACTAAAAAAAACGTCATTGCGACCGTGCGCCGATATCATATTATACTGTTGTATTTCGTTAACCAGTATGCACCGAGATTTATTTATACGCTGATGTACTGAGCAGATTTTCGTTAACCACACTTGGCCTCACATGGAATTTTCGTGAAAATTTACATTAAATTATGTGTCCCATCGCCATTGACTTAATTTCTGAACAATATCATCATCAGTGTGGCAAACGATTTGCGCGGGTTTACCTATTATTTTAGATACCTAACGAGAACTTTTCCGAAAAACGATTTGTCGAGTCGTAATCGCGTAGGGCTTCGAAGTGGAGTCGGAAGGATTAAACGGGTCTTAGAACACGACGGGACACACACTACGCGCTCGCCCAACGCAATACGAGTAAATCCTTCGTATTGACAGATGACAGCGCAGTGCGCCACCGCAGTGTGTGACGCTCTGTTGTATTAAGCCGTTATTTATCTCACTGACGACTTATATTTGGTTTTGCGCGCAGATCGGATTCGAGTCGCAACAGGAAGCCACGATCCACTTGGGCACGCACCTGGCTACGCTCAACGGTTCCGTGGATGGTATCGAGTGCGGCCTTTGCCCGTGCGTGCTGCCCACAGCCAACAGTCTCCAGTCGCACCTGATCGAGCACACGTTCGCCGGCTGCAAAGCGTTCACGTGCTACCTGTGCTCGGCCATATTCACCGCGCCCACAGGACTCCAGGCGCACATGACCGTCGACCACTCGACCGAAACGCCGCCGTACGACTGCCCCAGACCCGGATGTCAGGCCAAGTTCTTCTTCACCGCCGAGCTGGACCGGCACACGCTCGAGCACCAGGGACAGGACGTCCTGGCCAACGTGAGTATATACGACTCGAGGTCTTCAATTTCCGTTACCCCGCTAGAATTGCACATCCGGCGCGTACGGATAGACGATATGTTCGATTCCGGCGAGGACGACCACAGAAGTGGTCGTTTTACTAGTTTGTTTATATCAAGATAGGGACAAAGAGATATTATTGCGATTAAATCGGTCATCCGAAATAAATGCCCGTCATTAGTGTATCTACGAACCCTATTACGAAATCTATCAGCAATAATTATTTCGCGACACGCATATTATACAGCATTTCATACTGGTATTGATATAATATCACATCATTCGCTAATCATTTACACATTAATAGCGTTTAACGTGTGGTACAAAATTAAAACATGATTTTCATTATATTTTCAGACAAATCGATAAAAGACAATTTCTTATAAAACGAACTTGACATGCCTATGTTATATGTTAATTATTTTTCAATATCTTATGTTTTTATTTGTCACGTAATTGTAATGTCCAGTTCAAACTTAAAAATACCTATTGCGCTGAACATAGACAAGCTGGTGATATTTATAAATTTGTATTAAACATTAACAATGATATGGTAATTTATGAGCGTATCATTATTATTAATATTGAGCTTTTGCGACATTGATTTTAATAATACAAAATACATTTTATGTGCAACATTACTGCTAAAAAAAACAAAATTAATACATGCAAAGATTGAAAGATGCATTTACAAGAATATAAAAATACAATATTTACTCTGGTGTTTAGCCGTTTTTTATTGAGTATTGACTATACATTATACACTATGAAGTTATGTACTTTATGGTTTACACTACACAGATTAATAGATATATACATTATACATTAAGAACAATAATAAACTGCACGTCGCACATGACTGTAGCTGATAATAATTAAATTTAGGTTTACTGTGGGCAATAGTTATAAAACATTATTATAAATATCACCTATTCCATACTCCCTGTATTTCATTTTGAATTTTTACAGTAGCAAAAAAGCTAATAAACGATTGAACCATTAAATTACTACATTCTTCGTGAAATTCGGCATTAGTCTGTTTCAATATAATACAGACTCAGTAGTGTTCAAAGTAAAAAATAAAACGGTTCGGTATCAAAATTTATAAAAATTTTAAATAAATCAGCCTAGTCTTGTGACCTAGTTAAAATAAATATTATTTTGGTGATAGTCCAGTTCAGTCCAGTCTTGGTAATAATTAAAACTATAACTAGTCCGGTATGATCCATAAAAATACGGACCTTGCAGAGTTCTAGGCTGGTACATAACAATAGCATATAATTTATAATTCTTAGTTGTTTTACCGAAAAATCAAACGCTACAATTTTTATAATTTCAGATGAATTTCTACAAGTACCAAAACAAGCTTATGTCCATCTGCGAAAAACTATCGTTCAAGTGTGCCGAGTGCTATCAGAGTTTCTTGACACAGGCCGACTTGCAGTGTCACGTGTACGACCACCATCGGCAGCAGAAGGACGCGCCGCCGCCGGGATCGGAAACGATAGACCTCAAACAGGAAATGAGCGGATGCGCGGTTAACGGTAACGCGGAAACGCGGCCTTTGGACGAATGCGAACGGGACGCGAATCCGATCAAAGAGGAGGAAGACGGGGACGAGGTGAGCGTGAAAACGGAACACCGCGAAAGAGATGACGAGGACGAAGAGATGATTGACGTGGTAGAGAACAACCGCGATGAGCTGAAGTCGGGTGAAGACGAAGACGACGTGGATATGCATTGACGGGGGTGTATAATGCCTCGAGGCCATTGGTCGGGGCTCAAGGCGAGTTTGTAAAACAAACTCAAATCTTTTTGTCGTTATTTTTTAGGCATATTTCCAAAAAAAAAAAAAAAAAAGCTGCCGCAGAACGTATTTTGACGATAATCGATAGACGTGACGATTGTCCCGAACCTGTTTCTTATTATTATTATGATTATTGTTTATTATTATTGTTATAAAAACATGCGAATAATACGCGCATGATATTAGAGTATATTGTTTTAATAAGTAAATTTGTATTATTGTTATAATCATTATTAGTAGTAGTATAGTGTTATAATACACGTAATACGCGGCATGTTCTGTTTATATTATTATAGTTATTATTATTATTATTATTATTATTGTATACGTTGTATTTACGGTGAATAATTGAATAATGCACACACATTTAAAGTTTTAGGTGGTGAAATATTATTATTATTATTATTATTACTATGACCTCGTCGAGGAATGAATTATTTTTGAAATAAACTGTATTATCACTACCTTTTCGTACGTATATTAATACTTATAGCGTTATTGTTCGTATTAAATATACTTATGTTATATTAAACGAGTTTTACATTTTTAACGACACTTATTAGCTTATATTATTATTTAAAGTCTTATAGGATTTATGTTTATGTTAAACGATTCGTATAGATATTCTGTTGTTTTATTTTATTTTTTATTGTACAAATATTATTACAGCTCTATTATAATATAAAAAAAAAAAAACATAATAATATGTGTGTATGTATGTATAACGATAATGTCTTTAAGGGTTATGGCTATTTCTTATGGTTAATAATATTTTGTTTTTATTTTATTTCAACTTTAATTGTGATATTATTTTATCAAAACGGTTTTTATTATACACACACCGTATTTTTCTTTTGTTTTATATATCAATCATACTTGCGTCCTTAACAGAAAAAAAATTATCATTTACTCTATTCGTAAATTGAAAAATTGTTATGGTTATAGTTATATTATCATTGGTTATAAAATACATTAAGTCATCATCGCGATAATGTCACAAGAATCTCATCTTCTACTGTTATACTCAAAACGGTTTGATATTCCATTATAAACATTATGTAGTATGTATAGCACAAGTATAGCAGTGTAAAATCAATGATTGGTATCCACTAATTTGTCATTGATACAACATACATATAATATATTATCTCTTATCTTTTTAATAATTCAAAACGTCGATCTATTAGTTTTTTATTTGATGTGTGATAATTTATCAAAAACCATTTTGAAGAAAAAGCATTCCATTTTAATTGTTTTTAAGGCCCCTGCAAACCTATGAATTTTCATCAAAACGACCTTATCGACTGACAAAATTAACATACTTCTAGTGGTTCGATTTAAAAGTGTAGGATGTTTAAATTCGTAAACAAGTCTACTTTGCATCGGTCGGACATATATTTAATATTTTAATATTTTCAATATATTCAGTGTTAAGAATTTATAAATTTATAAATGTAAAATATTTATTTTCGCCAAACATTTGCTAAAATTGAAAAGTGCTCCGACCGATGCAGTAAACTTACCAATTCAAACATCTTCATTTTCAATTCGAACCACTAAATATTAATCAATAATCTCTAACTATTTACGTTCTTAAATTGGTTTGAATATTTTGATGTAAAGACTATCAATGACGTATGCATGCGTGCATTGATTCTCGGAATCGTCGTAATATAATTATATAATGACCGGCGCGGCGCGGCGGCGGCCTACCA